ACATAGACAGGTGCAGGTAGGGGATTTTCCTGGAAGTGCTAGGCTTTCGAGACAGATCCTGTAAGCAATTTGACTTGAGTTGAGTGCAACTAAATTATTGGGTGACGCCAAATGAACTGTGATTTCTATTATGCTGTCACTGTTTGTCTTCAGTGGCCCAGACTGAGGTGAAGCGGAGACAGTAGTTTCCAGGGAACATGACGACAGGATTCTGCACTCAGACCTATGTAAAATGGCATCACCAGCAGCCCTGAGCAGAGAATGCTCACTGTGGCTCCTACCACCACTCATCCCTTCACTCACTCACTCAACCAATGCTTTTATTGAGCATCTGACATAGGCTCTCACTTCAGGAAACAGAGACAATTCATTTTTAAAAATGCAGTGCTTGTCCTCCCAGACTTTAGGACAATGGGAATGACAGGGAAGGTGACAATTATATAATTGATCAACTCTATATAACTGGGACGTGTGCTGTAAGTACATACCAGAAGAACGTCACTGGCCCAATTGCATCAGTGGGAGGGAAATACAGAAGCTCCCACAAGTGAAAGAAGTCCATCAAATGAGGGATAGAGGTGATGTGTGCTTTCAAGGTAAACAGAGACTCCTTAGCCATGAGCTCATAGGGTCACTACATGCCCCAGTCCATCCCCCACCCTGTATCTTTATAAGATCATGAAGCCTCATAAGTGAGGCTTTACAGAGCCAGACTCACATGAGATCTGGTAGGAAATCAATAATGATACCCCACATCCCTTGGTATCATTATTGTAAAACGGAGTAGGTGTGAGGGTGCTTGTGTCCCCTCAAATTCCTAGAAGAGGTGAGCAAACTGTAGGGTTGGTTGCTTCAGGTTAGTTAGCAAGAGTGTCCCTGAGAAGTGCCGGTGCCTGTGACCTTTTATGGGAGGGAGAGGAGAGGGTTGGTACAGAAAATGTTAATTTCTGTGGATCTGGAGCTTTCCAAACTGCCTGGAAGGCAGCAAGTGTGGGGGATACTCTGTGAATGAGTTCGAATTAGATAATATCATGTGTGTGGAGCTCTTGAGTGCTTCAGAGAAAATGCTGTCTAAATACACAGTGCTCGCATCAAAGATAATGATACAGTGCTCTATTTATAGTGCTCTGCTTCCTACCTGCCAGCTATTTCCCAGGCATGGGGGAAAGATGAATGGGCAAGATGGAGGGAAAGAGCTTTGGAATCCTTGATTAAGAGCCCTCCAGGCAGATATAGAGTTTAAAATGTATTATATTATTGTCACCATCGTTGTGTTTTCTTTTATCACCCGGGAATGTCACCTCCTTCTGTTTCAGGTGAATGAGTCTGCCTTGCCTGACTGTTCCATGCTGGTTATGTCATCCAGGAAGGCAGCAGCCCCCAGATGTGTCATATACACAAACATGGTCGTCGTCCTCACCCCCCCACCCCCCCACCCCCCGCCCCGGGGTTGTCTCTTGTCAGTTGAATTTGGCCTGTCTGTAAATCCAGGCTTTCCCAAGCTCATTTTATCTCTTCCAATAGAAAACAATATGTAAATGCCCCGCTTAAAGGGAGTGTTGATTGCAAACCTCTGCATATGGTGGACAGATTAGAGCTATGAAATGGAGAGGAAGGGACCACTGGGCTCTAAAAGAGGACAGAGTCTCACAGCACAGCATCTCACTCACCCAGGGAAGAGTTCCAGAGAATTCACTAAAGTTGGGGCACAGTAGCAAAGGGACTTGAGAACTTGGAAAAGTCACCAACGAATCAGATTCTGGGTGTGAGTGGTTGTCTACAAGCCCTGATCACTCTTGAAGAACTTCTCCCCTATCCGAGCCAGGAGCCCTGGGAATACAAATTGATCTCTTTGGCTCCCTCCCACCATGGAAATAAAACAGGAGCCTGGCACCTGTCATTCTATAATGGGATGTGGATATGCAAATGAGCTGCTTCTGTAGTCAACTTAGAAAAGAGAGCAGAATTGGGTAATAGGGAAGGTTACCCTGTAACACAAGGGCAACGGGGGAAAGGAAAGGTCAGTTCCCATTCACCAAGACAGGGAAGGCCAACAGGCAGGACTATGACAATGACACATATCCCTTTATCTATGATTCTTCATCACTCCATCGATGGAACTGATAAGGTGCCCCAAATGGATAAGTGCCCCAAACCAGCACTGTCAGACTGTTAGGTATGCAGCCTTCATGTGAGTTCATCCTGGGAGCTGGAGAAAGAGCTGCATCAGTTACAGCTAAAACAGAACATCATCAAATTATCATTCCTGACTACTTATTCTTTGCCAGTCCCTATTTCTCGCTACTTATTCTTTGCCAGTCCCTTGCTGCAAGCTTTCTTTGTGTTCTCTCCTTTGGTCCTCTCAATGACGCTGTGGAGTAGATCTTACAACTCTGCCCTCCTTCAGATGAGGGAACTGAGCCTCACGGTCTCACAAATTAGTCAAAAGGCTAAAACTTGTAAGTACGGCAAGCAGATGGCTCTGATCCTAAAGGCTGGGGTTCTTCTCCACTGAATGCACTGAATGATGGAGAGAATCTTTATCTCTATGACGTCAGTCACGAGAAGGAGCAGTGGGGGAAGCGGAGGTGTAGAACAATCTGCCGTAATAAGTACCTGAAAGGGCAGCAGTGTGAGGACTCCATGAAAGGTCTAGACTGTTGGGGAAGAGGTGGGGGGGGGAATTAAAGCTATCTCTTTATAGAGGTAGCTTTGTGACGGTGCTTGTCAATGGAGTAGTGTGTGCAAGAATGGAAAGACAGAGGCAGCCAAGGGTTCTTCCGCTTCCCTCACATTAACCTTAAGCTAAGTGCTCAGCAGGGGTCCTGTGCTCTAATGCCCTGGGTTCAGCTTCTGGCTCCACCACAGCAGCTAGTCTCAAATACACAAATACACACTGCTCATGGGCCAGGGTGTGTGCCAGTTGCTGGCCAACGAGACAGACAGGGTTTCTGCTTTTAATGGCATTAGTATTCTGGTGAGGGAACCATGTAAGCAGGTGAACAGGATGGAGGTGAGACAGGCTGGCATGGAAAGGTGCTGGAGGAGGACCAGGCTGAGAAGACAGAGAAGTAACATAAACAGGGACATTTTAAAAGAATCTGGTTATGAGACTGTCTGGGACTTGACAGCCCAGAAAAGGGAAACCCTTAGTGCCAACATCCTGAGGCACGAATCAGGGTTATGCATTTGAAGTAAGAGAAGATGGGGATGCTGGGACAGGGTAGCAGAGGGAGACTGGCAGAAGGTGTTCTGTACAACAAGCCAGGTGAGCTGTGCAGGTCCGTTCAGCATCCAAGCAGCTTCAGGGCATGTGTCCACAAATGCACATCCTCAGGGCCAGTGCAGACCTGCGGTTACAGGAAGCCTGGGAATGGAGCTGAGCACGCTGTGCTTTCTCGAGCCTTCCAAACGATTCTGCTGTCTCGGTTTCTCAGCTAGATCATACAGTTTCAGTGGTTTTTATTGTCATTTCCCTTTTTTAAGATTTGTTTTTATTTGTGTGGGGGGGTGTGTATGGGAGAGATGAGAGAGAGAGAGAGAGAGAGAGAGAGAGAGAGAGAGAGCCACAAGTCTGTGGTGCCCTTAGAGGCCAAAGCAGATATCAGATCCCTTGAGCTGGAGTTACAGACAGTTGTGTGCCGCTGACATGGGTGCTCTGACTAGAACTCTGACATCTTCCAGAGCAGCAGGTACTCTTACAGCTGCCATCTCTCTATCCCTATTCAGTTCCAATTGCATCCCAGGTGTGGCAGGGTCTGAGTCACAGAACCTAAGTAAAAAAGTGGCACATCGGGACTTTCCTGTCTTTTCAATTTTGAATCATCTATTTTTTATTCTTGGGGTTGACTTTTGTCATCATTTTGAGCTCTCTCTCTATCTCTCTCTTTATCTCTCTCTTCTCTCGTCTATTCCTCCCCTGACTCAATCTTCCTAGACCCACATCCTATCTTCTCCTCCCTTTCTCTTTCTCCTAGTTCCCTCTCCACTCACTGCCCCCCACTTCCCATGTGCTCAGGAGATCTTGTCCCTTCCTCCTTCTGCGAGGGACCTTATATGAATCTCTGAGAATCCTCCTTGTAATCCTAGTTTCTCTGGCAGTGTGAATTATAGGCTGGTGATCCTTTGCTCTATGTCTAAAATCCATATATGAGCGAGTATATACCATGTTCCTCTTTTTGTGACTGGGTTACCTCATTGAGGATGGTTTCTTCAAGTTCCACCCACTTGCCTGCAAATTTCAAGATTCCATTGTTTTTTTGTTTTGTTTTGTTTTTTGTTTTTCGCAGAGTAGTATTCCATTGTGTAGATGTGCCACATCTTCTTTATCCATTCTTCAGTTGAGGGGCATCTAGGTTGCTTCCAGGTTCTTGCTATTACAAATAATGCTGCTGTGAACATAATTGAGCACATGTATTTGTTGCATGGATGTGGATCATTTGGGTATATGCCTAAGAGGGGGATTGCTGGGTCCTGTGGTAGACTGATTCCCATTTTCCTGAGTAACCGCTATACTGATGTCCAAAATGGCTGTACAAGTTTGCACTCCCACCAGCAGTGGAGGAGTGTTCCCCTTTCTCCACATCCTCTCCAGCATAAATTGTCATTGGTGTTTCTAATTTTAGCCATTCTGGCAGAAGTAAGATGGTATCTCAAAGTTGTTTTGATTTGCATTTTCCTGATAGCTAAGGATGTTGAGCACTTTTGTAAGTGTCTTTCAGCCTTTTTGATTTCCTCTATTGTGAGTTCTCTATTCAGTTCTGTACTCAATTTTTAATAGGATTATTTGGTATTTTGTTGACTACCTTATTGAGTTCTTTGTATATTTTGGAGAGCAGCCCTCTGTCAGATGTAGGATTGCTGAAGATTTTTCCAGTCTGTGGGCTTCCATTTGGTCTTGTCAACTGTGTCCTTTGCCTTATCGAAGCTTCTAAGGTTAAGGGGGTCCCATTGATTAATTGTCGATCTCAGTGTCTGTGATAATGGACTTATGTTCAGGAAGCAATTCTTCTCATATGTATCAAAACTCATTCTGAACAATGAGTTCTGGGCTGCAGAAGAAGACTTATTTTTGAACCTATCTTTAAATCTTTGGTTGATAGTTCAACAGCACACAAATACTAAGGATTTTCTTTTCAATGCTACAGAAAGACCCTGGCTAATGAAAAAACAGACTGTATCAGGGCATGAGGAACACACATGCATACAGAGAGACATGCTCACACACAAACACATAGGCATGTACACACCCATGCACACATGTACACACATGCATTTACACATGCTTATGCACACACACAGAAAGACACAATGAACATGCAAACACACATGCACACATTCATAAGCACATTTACATGAACACAGATATATATATATATATATATATATATATACACACACACACACACACACATGCACACCTGCACACGTGCACACTTTTATGTTTGAATGAGATCTGCATTTACAAAACAGCAAAGGTTGTGGTGGTTTGCTCCTATTGTTGCCCATAAACATTCCAGAGAGTCTCATGCTTTCCTTGAATAAAAGTAGGTGAGCAGGTGACTTAGGAGGACAAACATGAATGAAGGAGCAGAAATTCAGCTGCTTTCCTATCTGCCATTCTTCCTGTCATGATACCAGATACCAGGTAGCTCAAGAATGTAGCACCATGCTAAGGGAAGAGAAAGGCCACTGAGGAGAGGTGTGTAGGTGTAGTTTGGGAACCTGTCTTCATCTAAAATTTGACATTTCATCCATGATAAATTTTTCCCATTAAATCCGATTTGTTTAAATGTAGTATTATGATGCCATTTAGCTTGAGTGCTGAGATTTCTGGTGTTTCCTTACATTGTGCACCCAAGCCTCCTCAGCTCATGTAAAGGTATTACAATCTCTGGCTCCCTGCATTTGGGAAAGGCATGTTTTGAGATTTTATCCGTCAAGAAGTTTGTCTGTTGTGTTTGCCCCAAGAGCAGCAGGCTCTGTGGGACCCAGCAGTCATGCAGTATTGCAATCCTGCTTTGGTGTGGCCCGTGTCTGGTTCAGTCAAGACAATATTTATAGTGCCAGCGGAGCCCCCCTGTAGTCGAATCTCTAACTGAAGTAGTTTCTCTGTCTAACCCAGGCACAGTAATCATCCCTAGATCTGCTATTCAACGGCATCTCTAGAAATTAGTTGCCTAAAATGAGAGGTTTGTAGACGCTCAAGTGGACAAGGAAGTAAAGAGGAAGGTGAAGAGCCTTTGACTGGGCTCGACACGGGTCCTACAGAGTTGGCAGCTCTCTCTTCCTAATTACTAGGTTTTTCCCTGGGTCTGAAGTTTTATGTCTGTACAATAAAAAATGATTTCCTGCTTGGATCAAAATTATCCTCTAAAATAAGATCCCCGCCAGAGAAAGAGAGCCGGAAAGAGAGACCTCACATCTCTAAAGCCATGAATCAGTTAACCAGCCATTTTCTGTCTACAGTGCCCAGAGCAGACACGCGGTTAGATCAATTATTTTATAGATTATTTCCCTTGCCTTTCCAAGAAGAGGATTTATCAATTTCGGGGCACAGCAACCATCTGTTCTCAGACCACTGATGCTTTTTCGCTTCTCTTCTTGACATAGAAGGAGGGAATTGGAACTGTGAATCTTCCTGTCTCCCCCACCCCCAACTCTATTCCCGCAGGCTGATTTGGGGCAAATGTGAGGGTTCTGTAAATAGAGGCCTGTAAATAGAGCTGATCAGTGGCTGTGCTCATTGCTACAGAGAGTGGGAACTATGTTCTGCTTTGAGAGTAACTGGATATGACCCTTGCAGAGATCACTTTCTAGGAAGGCCAATTCCCTCTCAGGGTGGCACTCTGATGCATCATTCATTCATTCAACTAACAAATGCCACTTCTGCTCCTTTAATCTAAAGAAACTCAACAGTCAAAAAGGAATGAAATTCAGAGGCTCATTCAGATTGGGTGCCCTCCATGCAAAGCAATGTTCTGAGAGGCCAGCCAGGCCTGGGAAACGTTTCCCTAATCCCTCTGGGGTTATTAGATCTCCCAGGAGAATCATCTCCAAGAGGCACAGCCAGGTCCCAAGCTGGGAACACCACATATTCTGGCACCTCTCAGCAGAAGGCTAGTAGGAAAGGTAGGTGCTGGCCCGGTAGCCTCCAATGGCATCACCAGCCCTCCAGACAGCTGATAGCCCATGCCCATGTCCATTTAGAAGCAGTCACTGAGCTGCAAGGAAAAACTAGCAGCACAGAATGAACCATTATGAACTCATCCGAATTAATGGCTCCAATGTTGGTTATGGACGACATCTTCCCACAGAGTGGACAAAGGGAGAAGGTTATATAAGCTGCAGGACTCAGTTGGGTGGCACTGGCCTCCCAGTCAGTGTGCCCCTCAGAATCCTTGGGCATGCCATCACAGTAACCATCAAAGTAGTTTTTACCCTTCGTCACATGTTTTCATATCAGAAAGAAATGAAACTCCAGGTATGTCAGCAACCAACTCACTGGTCATTACCCTACAAGGCCTCTCTGAGGGTCTCTTGTGTGCTGGGCATGGGCAAGGCAGGGACTGAAGCCTCGGATAAGACAGGCTCAGTCTCCGCTCTCACCGAGTTTACACTCGAGTGGAAACAGACTGACAGGAAACAGTAACCAATGAGATAACTTCAAACCGTGAACATCACACCACTGTGTGATGTGTGCTGAGAGGGGATTCTCAGGCTAAGGTGGTTTTGGAAGGCCTTTCCAGCTCGGTAAAGATGGACAAGGAAAACCCAACAGATGAGTCCAGGTGTAGGTAAAGAGCATTCCACACAAGGAACACGAGGAAGCTCACTCTGAGTGGAATCAACCCTATCTGAGGGACAGGGAGAACATGGTGCCTGGGAGCAGAGCGAGGGGGGTCTTGTGATGAATGCCACCTCAAGCTCAGTGCAGCTGGGTGGAGAAGCACCTCTAGGACACAGGGTTTTGCTTACTCCAACAGCAGGGAATGTGGCACGATCTGGACTTTGTGTTTGAGTCAGGATCTCACTGGGCAGCCAAGGTTAGCCTGTAATTATGCAGCTCGGCCCGGTCTCAAGCTTGAAATCCTCTTGTTGTCTATGGAGTGCTTGGATTACAAGTGTGTGCCACCATATCTGGCTACACTGCCTTTTAAATCTGTCACTCTGGCTGTAATGTGGGAAAGGGGTTGAAGACAGAAGCCCAGCCCAGCTCAGGAGAGTCTGGTCAGAGGCTGCAGCAGTCCAAGGAAGAGGCCTTGGTGCCCTGATCTTGGTAGCAGAAGGAAGGGTGATGGTGGAAGAGTTTGGGGCAGGAGGTGGGTGGGGAGGAGGGAAGATGAAATCAGAGCACAAGAATGGGAGAGGGGTGATTCCAGGTGCAGGCAGGGCCAGAGCCACGTGTGGATGACTGCCACCGACTGCAGCTGAGGGGACAAGTTTGCAAAGAACTCGAGGCCCAGCTAGTGGCTCCTAGTTAACGTTCTGTGGTCTCACTCGTGTGTGGGACACAAATGAGAATGTTGTCAGTTTGGGGGAGCTGTGAGAGACTTCGCCAGCCTCCAAGCAGGGTAACACCTTCAGTGAGAACAGATGTGACATCTTTCCTAGGAATGAGCTCACTGGGGAACCCCACACCCAGCCTCCTTCATTCTTCCCACCCTCCAGCTGGTCTTCCCAGCCAGCTAGCTCCATTCCCTCCTTCTGCTACTCAGCACCTGTCTTCCTTTCTCTTGTCTTCTACTCCAGTGTCTGTGGAGTCTCGTTTTTCTGTTTATCTGTTCACTCAAAATCAAAACAAACAGAGGCCACATTGTATAACATGTTCTACCCAACTCTGAGCTTGTCACTCACTGATGATGGCAGAGGCCAGATTTTGAGAGAATGTGGGTCTCTCCCCGTAGCCACCTAGCACTCCAATCCTCTGTAACAGTCCATTTAGGAATATATTCTCTTGGTTTATCCAGCCCTTTCTTGACCTGACTTCCATTTGCCAAAAGTACAATTTATTGATTCCCACTTATTTTCTGACTTAATGACTGGAGACGAGAAGATCGCCTTCTATGTGACTCTCGAACTGGGATTGTTACTATGTTCAATGGTAATTGTTTCTATTTGGTAAGCCCTCAGAAGAGAGCATACTTCCCTTCTTGTGCTTCCTTGTTGTTGGAGGGACACTACAGAGCAAACACTGCTGTGCCATTTTGCACTTAATACTTGACACTTGGAACATGTGACATCTTGAGGACTTTATCAAGTTGCCCGAGGCTACCCAGATGGTGAGGGTGGAGGAGAGCTTTCATCCCAGGCTATCAGTCCCCAGAAGGAGGAAAGCCACAGTGCTGTGGTTTTCGTGGGCTGCAAGGACATTGCTCCCCAGGCTAGCAACCCTGGGTTTTATGGACTGCAGCGGGTATAAAGGTCATCAAGGTTTACAGTGTCATTTCATAAGCAATTAGTGGCATGGTCCAGGACAGGATCAGTAACTGTTATGCTCACTTCAGGAGGGATGGACCCAGTAAGTAAGGTCAGTAGAGGAACCATAGACACCTAAGCAAACTCTTATGGTTGACTTGGGGAGGCTTTAGAGAACAAAGTTTGTGTCGAGTTAGACTATAGCTGTGCTTCATTTAAAAAGAAGGAAGATTGGAACAGATGACCTCCGTCTCCTCTGCAAAAGCCAATCTTATAGGGATGTCTGGAAGGGGACAGATGATGGGAGCAGACCAAGATCCTGCAGAGCTCTGCATGCCTATACTATGCTACAGATAGATGCAGCTCTATGCCACAATAGCACCGGCACCACATACCCTCCAGTGGAGGTGATATTTGGGGGCTGGGTCTGGTCCTGGAATGCCCCATCATAAGCAACAGCTTGGAGGCATGGGCTTACGTCTCTTTTTAAAGCAACTGCAGAAAGGAGAAGCAGCAAAGTGGGTGGGTAGGTGACACAAAATAGTTACCTACACATTCTTTTATGCACAAAGCTGTGTGGGATATCGGGGGTGGCGTTGGCCAAAGGGTGACTGTAGAACTTAGACACTGATCCCCCCACCCCCACCCCCGTCCCCGTCCCCACACTGCAGCACCACTTTTCGTAGACTGCATCTCCCAGTCGCTGAGAACTAGACAATGTGTGACGCAAACCAAGCAGTTCTGGCTCCCTGTGATCTCCACCACCACACAAAGGGGAGAGAGCGTCTACTATTCTGGGCAGGATTCCCACCGGCCTATTTGTCCCTCTCTTTCTGTTCTTTGTATAAAATAAGCACTTTCAATCATCATCTGCTGGTTCTAGAAGAAAAAAAAATTCTTCCTTGTTCCAAAAGCAAAGAGATATGAAGAATAGACCTCATGAGAAGCCCTGTGAGAGCAATCTTCTTATGTATGCAGGCGCCTTTCATCAGTCTTCAGAGAGGCTACGGGGAATAGGGAAAGAGGGGGAGCTGAGAAAGGGGCTGCGAGAGCTGGATGCTGGCAAGCATGATATATGAATCTCTGAAAATGCCACAGTGAAACTCACTACTAGGTACAATGCATAGGCATTAATGGTTTTAAATTTTAAGTGTAGGAACCAGATAGTCTCTGTTACCTATGACAAACCACTGTCTGAAAATACTAAAGGGGAAATGCCAGAAATAAACCAATCACAAACTTTCAATAGCTTTTATTATAGTGTCTTGTGAGTGTTTTTGTTTTGGTTTAGTTTCTGAGAAGGGAATTGGTTTTGTAGTCCAGGTTATCCTCAAATTCACTATGTGGTCCATGCTGGCCCCAAACTCACTGTGATCCTCCCTCCTCAACCTTTGAGTACTTGGGTTACAAGTGAGTATCACCACACCCAACTGGTAATGTTATAATTCTTCTATTTTAATCATTAGTTGTTAATCTCATACCGTGCCTAATCTATGAACTAAACTTCTTCAAAGGTATACACAGGTAGCACTTATGAGGTTTGGTACTACCCATGGTTTTGTATGTTTACTGGGATATTGAAACATACCCCTAATGGATAAAGAGGTGGTGCACAATCCTTGATATTACATAAACATTATTTGTCTTGTTTGTATAATGGTTAAATTACTTGCCCAAGATCATGTAGCCTTTCTGGGATTGGAACTTGGAACCTTTGGCTTTCTCCAGTCTTCAAGTATGATTATAACATGCAGCCACATGAAACCCAAGAGGACTTGCTGAGGCTGGAGGAGGGCCAGGACAGCCACCTTCCTCTGTGCACTTTGTGGAATTGGGGTCAACTTGAAGCTTTCTGGGTCTCTTTCTCCTTCTTTTCCTGTTTCTTCTCCAGCTTCCTTGTCCCAATTCTGCTCCTTGCTTATGATACTTTATTTTTCCATCCACAGCAAAACAATTCACATCAAGGTAATTGATGATGAGGCGTATGAGAAAAACAAGAATTACTTCATTGAGATGATGGGCCCCCGCATGGTGGATATGAGTGTTCAGAAAGGTGTAGTACCCTGTCCTCCACACTAACAGTAACAGTCTTTTCTCCTTCCTTTCTTCCTCTCTCCAATCCATTTCCTTCTCTTTCTCTTGCCTTCTACCTTCCTATTTCCTTCCTCTCTTGCTCTGTTCACTTCTCCTTTCTCTGCCCTAACACCTGCCAACCTGTCACATGGTATCCATAGAGAGGTCTTCAAGAACCAATGGCAGTTTGTCTGGGGTGGCAAAATGAATATGGGTGAGTAGAAGAGAGAGAGAGAGACAGAAAGAGAGAGAGAGAGAGAGAGAGAGAGAGAGAGAGAGAGAGAGAGAGATCCCACACTCTGAGAATGAGGCTTTCTGTAATGTAGTAGGGAGGCAAGAAAGACAGGTAGGTTTGCAGACAGGAGGAAATCTTGAGAAACTGACTCTCAGTACAGATTTCCACAAGTAAAATTATTCTCAAAGCTGAGATTATGTCCCAGGAATTTAAGAACCAATATATTTAGACCATACTTTGTCCCACTCCCCCAAAGAGCCCTTCAGAGTCATCTTATCTGCCATGTCTCTGCTATCAAAGTTTGTTTCTCTCCCTGACCTTGACTGAACATCAAGTAGAGGTCTCCATCAAAGTCCTTCTTGTCATATTCTACTCTCCATATTAAGGGGAGTTAGGTGTGGAGGCAGAGGAAATAGCAAAGAGAGAATTGTGGCCTAAGGGGAAGCTTTCCCTGCAAGTCCATGAGACTTTTCAGAATGGACAGAGTGTGCTTGTCCTTGTATAGCTGAATGACCTTGTATAGCTCTAGTCCCCAAGAGGAAGTCAGACGATCCTTCCTAGGACAAGTTGTGCTCTAGAGCTGCTGGATCATCATGACTCTCTAAGCCAGCTCAATTTAACCTGGTGCAGGAGTCCCTGTGGTAGCAAAACAGGCTCACATCTTAATGACAGAGAAGTCTCTGACCTCCAAATGCTCAGTGACTTTGTTCACTCAACAAGGTATGAAAAACGTGTGCACGTGCACACACACACACACATGCAAAGCTCAGTACTGTTTATGCTTTATTGGCAGCAAAGTGAAGCGTGTCTTCAGAATGTCAAAGGGACATCAGAGGATCTGAGGACATTTAAGTTGTCATTTTTTCTCTTTTCCCTTTGAGGGAATTGGGTCTCGTTTTCTCCCTGTCACAAATAACCCATAGAGAATAACTAGACCTGTAGTTCTATGACATTCCAAGAGAAGCCAAGCATGAAAATCTGGGTCCCCGCTTGAACCTCTCCACACGACCATGTGACTGGATGAGGTTCAAGTGAATATTTGAGTGGAGGACCTTTCAAAAAAACACAAATATAAAAATCAAAACTTGCTTTTCTTTGTGACTGACGCTCCACTGTGTTGACACCCAGAAATAGACAGCTATCTCCACAACCTTGTGTTCCGAACCCAGATTAATCAGCAATAAGGAGGTCAGCCTTGGGGCATAGCATCCTTCTACAACAGGGATGTCAATAGTTTTGTATCCCTGTATCACATTGAAGGAAACACTTATTTTGGTCCACACTCTTGAACCTTCCTAAAGGAGAAAGAAGGAGAAAATTAATAGAACCCTTCCTCCCTTTCTCCATACCCCTTTTCTCTCCCCCTCTCTCTAGTCTTCCTCTTCATAAATAATTTTAAATATTTTCTTAGTGAAGAAAAAGAAGGGACTGGAGTCCTAGGTTCTGCAGGTGCATTCTTCATTGTAGAAGGGTTCTGGGTTATTCCCAGTAGGCGGGTCATTTACTTGATGCCTAAAGAAATGCTCCCGTTACCATGTGACACCAATGGAATGCGCGCTGCCCGACTTACTTCCTACTAACCATTGGCGGGATCTAAAATGACTCCTCCCCACCATGATCCTCTCCCCTCCCTTCCTTCTTTTTGGCTCCCTTTGCCCCCTTGTCCTTGTCCTCCTGGTTCCTTTGCCCTCTCACCTATAAGAACAACTATGACCTAGGAGACAAGAAAAGCTAAGAGCACTTTTTTTGTAAGACAGCACAATCCACCATAGTCCTGTCTAAGGCCACCATGACAGGATGGGGCTGCATGTGCCAAGAGTGATGGAAATGGTTATTAAAGGCTGTGTCCAGCTGAACGACAAACCTGCCCACCTAGTCGACACTCTCTCTCTTGTTGTCCCTACAGGAAAACCATAAGGGTTAAAATAGTAGATGAGGAGGAATACGAAAGGCAAGAGAATTTCTTCATTGCCCTTGGTGAACCGAAATGGATGGAACGTGGAATATCAGGTGTGAGATTCTTTAAAATCAAAACAACAACCAAGAGAAAGCAAAGAGAAGAAAAAAAAATTGAACAAACAAGGAAACGAAAAAGAAAAAGTGACCCTATTTTTGTCCCCACCTTTTGTCCCCTTCTCCTTCTTCTCCTATTGACAGAGATTTTATTCTTTTCCCTCCTGTATTCTCACTCCCACCCTGTTTCGGTGTCATCTCTGCCTTAGCTGTAGTTATTCCATATTCCTCCTTTCCCACCTTCTGGGCAGTACTGCAGCCTCAACCCCCATTGCCCTAATGAATTATTTCTGGGTTGCGCTACCCAGTTGTTACTGTCCCCTGCACTTTCCCCTGTTCTCTGCCCCAGTGCCAACATGGAAACTCCTTGGTGGGTGGGGAGGAGAAGAAAAGGAAAGGGATGTAATGTTTTGCATGCTTGTGCCCCTTTCTTGCCACCTCTCTGTCTCGCTGGGATTGACAATGTTTGGGGGTTCTTGGAGAAAGGGTGGGACCCATGTTGCTATAATGCTTTGACCATTCTCTGCTGCATTCCTCAACTTCTATTGAATGCTTGGCAAGCTATTCACTTGCAGCGTGGCCCACAGGCCTCTCTGCTCTTCCTAGAGGTAAGTGCATTATCTGGCTATATTCCCAGTTGGATAGACCATGGTACGGGGAGGTATACCAGTTGGCCATGGTCTCTGAGAGCTCTCTGGGAGATAGCTCACTTTCTGAAATAGCCCTGCAACATGGTATCCCAAGCTCTCCTTTCTTCATTTGACATCCCATCCACTCCATCCCACCTTTCCCCCATCGACTAAAGTAAAAAAAACCTTATGTGGGATACTTTGGGATAATGAAAACAGAAAATTGAAAATCTATAAGAGAAAGTAAGTCACTTTAGGTTCAACTGTTCCCTGAGCCCAATGGGCCCTAGAAAAGAAAAGACTTTGGGTAAGCCCAGAATATTTATTTATGATTATCAAAGAAAGGAACTCTCCACTGAGTAGTGGTTTGGATCACTGAGACACTAAAGACAGCCAGTAGACAGACTGCTAATGGTTACCTGCCTTTGCTTAGCATCTGAAAGTGAAGATAATGCTCAGACCTCAAGGCACTTCTCTCCTCGTTTTCTCCAAACATCCCAGACAAAGGCTTGTCCATATGAGAATGACACTGGCATTGTTGCAACCAGGAAAAATAGAAGTAATGCCTTCTTCACTTAATGAAAATGATCAGAAGCTACCGCTTTGAAGATGTTGAAGGAATAGGTATGGGAGTGCAAAAACTTCTGTTCCTCTAGGAGGGTTGAATATTCTTCATTGGTTTTACATTCATCAACAGGAAGCTACATGGACAGATCTAAGAGAGCGAGGTCAATAGTGACACTTTCAAAGTGCTCCTACAGGTCAACTCCTCAAACTTGATGGTCAGTTGTCATCATCTTCCGGAACTGTCTGCAGAACTCGCCAGTTCTGTGCTAGCACTGGTTTGGACACATCTAGCATTCATGGAGCAAAGTGAGCTCAATCTTCCATTGCCCACAGAGTAAGGTGTTCCCACCAGCCTGACCACCAGAGTTTGCCAGAAGAAAGATAATCGCATTCTGTTGCCTCTTACACTATTCCAGCCTATCCTCACTCTTTCCAGAATATTCTCAGAAATTGTCCCAGTGCCTGCCCTACCTCATTCCCATCACATCCCCCTTTGTGCCCTGACTGACATCTTTATGACTGACTGGAAACAAAAGATACCCAAGTCCCATGTAAAATAGTTTCATCAAGGGGAAGATGTAAGCAGCTCACTGGGTGGAACAGAGCATCTGAAAGGAAGGCAGAACTCCAGGCAGATGGAAGAGATTAGCAGCCCACCTATGCCTTTATTTTACCATTATAAGCAGCTATTTCCTGCCTCCCCTTGAGTTCCCTACCAAACAGTAGGCCAGAAAGTCTCCTAAGATAACCCTTGTGTTCTTTGGGAGATCCACCTGAATGCTAACTCCTGTGGATTCTCCCCATTTGAGGTTGCCTTTGGCACTGAATTGCTTGACCAAGAAGAGTCCAGAAAAATCCTTGTGAAGCCTGGTCCTGGGGAAGGTGGAAGGAGACAAAACTTCAGAAAGCTATTTGTGTGATATGCCTCCAGATTTTCCCAAAGACCCAGATTTTCCCAAAGACCAAGCTACTAAGATGGAAGTTGTCAGTATGGGTTTCGCAGCCTCCTGCCCTATGGTCTAGGCCCTAGACTCTGGGGCATTAATTTTCAGTTTCTTTAGCTCTTCCCGATATTGGCATCAGACCATGAGGTGAAAGGTTATAAAACCTAATTGTCTAGATCCAGAGTCAAATGAAAATCCATTCTGATTTTCAAGATGCCCTACTGTTTTCAGAGTGAGAGACAGTACAGTGAAAATTGCTTTTCATTATCGCCACTATCTAGGAGAGGCTTAGGCATTCAGGCTAGCATCGTCTCTGCATGGTCAAAACGACAATAGGAATTTTTTAAATGACTGGACTTGAAAAAAGAGACTCTATTCTGAGCAAACACAACAGCCTTCAGAGGTGATATTAAAAGTTCTGCATGATCTGTGTGGTAGAGGGGAAAAAGAGAGGATGAGAGGAAACATAACTCTGGTGTAGAGTAAGCCCTGGAGTGCGGAAGTGGACTAATGTGAGCAAAGATGGGCTGCTGCATTGTCAGGGCTAGTGGGGCAGTGCCTGGCCAGAGGAAGAAAGTCTCCAGTGGGAAAAGGAAGCACTATCCAGTAGAGGGGCCTGTTTCTTTCTCTTCCTTCCGCATCCAGGGACACACCTTGTCCAGTGCCCCGCCACCACATTTCCTGAGCTAATTGTCTCTGAGGGATCTGAGCAGGGATGAATAACTCTCACCTGAGCCTGAAGATCAATACATGGGAAAGCAAGGAAAATACCCTTGTGGTAGTCAGTCACTCAATGTTGACTTCGGTGGATCTCACAGATGCTTCCGTTACTTCTTAATTAGAAAACTCAAATTCACGAAGACATGAAGCATAGAATGTGTGGCTTGCCTGGGTCATTATGTTTTGGGATCTTCAGCCTCCACCTAAACTTTAGGGCCTGAAGTGTTCTTCCTGCAGACCCATAGAAGAAGCAATATAAATTATCTACCTGGAGGTCTATGTCAATGTAATTAGAATATCCACTGACCAACTAATTGCCTTCATAGTCTAAATGGAAACAACTAAGAAAATAAACTGCTGCTCAGCTGCTTGCACGCCATGTAGATTCTGAATCCACACTTGTCTTCAGTGGCTGTGAATACGGAGTCATGGGTCTCAGGCATGAGCTGAATTCCTTGAGTTTACTAGAAGACTGGATATGCAAATATTCCTACACATACTCACATACTCTTTCCTTCCTTGTCAGTCTCTACCAGGAGTCTGTAGCAAGGTGTTTTCAGATCTGACAAGAGCCAATGAGTGAGGGGTATACAATTACATAATCAGGATGAAAATGTATGTGAAATTCACAAGCATTTCTTTTTAATTTGTGCATTTCGAAGTCCAAGATAGTCTAGCATAAACTAGGTTCTTATTCCATGCAATGGGTCTCTTATTCATTGGGAGAATCTGCCAGGTTACCTTGGAGACAAGAGAGTTTAGCACAAGAAAAAATAAGCTAGAGTCATCTGTGTTGTCTACGTTATTTACTTTCTTTCCCCAGTCCATGTAGAGACCTTGCTTTATCATCCCTCATCCTCATAAAAGTTTTGGTCTGACAATCCCTCTATTCTAGAGTACCCAAAATCCAGAGCTCACCTACCCTTTCTGAACTAAAAGACTATCAACTGCCATAATAGCAAACAACAAGCCTTTATCGAACATTACTAAGTTCAGCGACAAGTGCATGGCTCTGACCTCCAAGATATTGCTATACTCATTCAGTGACCATAGTCTAGAGAATACATCTTTTCATTATATTATTCTTCTAGAGAAGATTAAATCCCTGGCCAAACCAGTAGCTAAGATACCATTTGTAACTATGAAAATCTTATGGACACTGGGGAGGTAGAGCATGATCCAACTGCACGGCTAGGGCTGGGAATCATAGAAAGGAGCACCACCCTACTCGTGAACACTGCTCTCTGAAGCTCACCTTCAAGCCCTGTGTGCCACTTGACATCAGTGGGCCAGCTTCTCTGGCAGGATTACAAACCACACACCGTGTTCATGACAACTAGACTGAATCACAGTGATCACCTAAGTGTCTTTTTCACCCACTTGGTCCTCTCATCCTCCCGCCCCCATCCTTTTTCAGGGAAGATGTGGGGGTAACTTCCTTGTAGCTGCTCAGCAGTCGTTCCAGCTTCTCACACCTCTTGCTGCTGCTCTTGCTGCGCATGCTCAATGCTGCCGTCTGCATGCGTTCTTGAGCTCTCACTTACTAAAAGCCCACTGCCTTCCGTATGCTGCCAGAACCACAAAGCCTGGGGACACTCTCAAGATGGGACCTTAATGTTCTTTCCTTTTCTTTCTCCCCCTTCCCTGATATCATTTGCAAACAGCGCTCCTGTTATCTCCAGGTAAGAGGTGTCTGTCTTTCCCCTCTTTTCTGTTCTTGCCAGTGCCATTACTGGATTTAAGATCAGTGTCCACTACGTTACTTGACAAGAACTGCAGGGGCAAGATAACCTGACAGGTTCTCCCAACAACTGAGAGAGTCCTCACATAAAGTCGTTGTGGAGAAGTAGATAATTCCTTGAGCATCGTTTTCATCAATGAATGTGAGGAAATGCAGTGAGTCATTAAAACAAAACTTACCAAGAAGATGGTATGACATAGATTTCCCCGCATCTCAGTTCATCTGCTTCTTATGTTGTTGGAGAGGAGACGGTATGAGCTAGGACCAGAATCTCCAATCAGATTGACATAGAATTCGAAAGGAAAGACTGACCTCAGGGACCTAGGGAAAAACAGCCAAGAGCTGCTGAGAACAAGAGAGCCCATTTATTTAAAAAAAAAAAATAATAATACAGACTTTTACAGATCCTGGAGAACTTCTAACACATCACAGATGAGAGTTTAGTTGCTAGATTTGGACTCATTTGTCATTTATCCTTAAAGTTACATATGCCCCAAACAGTAAAACAATGTGTGGGAACAGGGCTCTGGATTAAAAAAAAAAAAAAAAAAAAAAAAAAAGACATCTATAGATTTTTGGCAGGATTCTCATTCAGAATTTAGATCCTGTGTAGGACGTGTACCTACTTTGAAAGTATGCTGGCATGAGTGGAAGCCCATCACAAACAGCATGCAGCCTCAGGACCAGAGAGGAAGGCAGCCCTCCATGTCTGGCAGTACTGTACTTGATGCAGATGGAGTAGGCTCCACAAGACAGTTTCAGTATGTTTTAAAAGGACATCTTACATTTCATCTGTTCTTTGAACACACACACATACACCACCCACACAATAAGGCTACTTAAGAGGCAAAAGATCCTGCAGAGTACACTGGTGTTCCAAGTCACCCCTGGGGCTTCAGAAGAGGCAACGAGTATAGTAAGATCATTTGCCTCCTTGGATCCTAAAGCCAAAGGTACACATAGTTAATATGTTTTCCTTTTGGGAATACATTGCCACAGCCTCTTCGTGTCCTTGTTTATTTTTATGCCAATAGGATAAGGGCTAGCTCTAGCTCTATGCTCTGCACTCTCCTCCTGGGGCATTAGTCATTGGTCTCTCTCTTCCCCTCTGCTCATACAACCCCACATGAATATGTTCAGGTTTCTTCATTCACGTTCTTGCCTTCACTACCTAACACACACGTTCATATTTGGCTTAAGTTTTGCTATACTTTCAGCAAGATTTCAAACACGAGGAGAAATGTAAAGTGCAGAGGGAATGCCCTACACCTATCTGTAAACCTCTGATTCAGGAGCGCTTGATTAGGCTTTAGATCTACCAGAAATACCAAGTTTTGATTTTGATCTGTCAGGACAGGTGAACGTGACTAACAGTGCCTGGTGGTGAAAGAGAGTAAATGTGTTCATCCTGGGCTTTTCCACCACATTCAAGGGCCTTGGAGTGAGAGCCGTGGCCATACCACCGCTTCTCTGTGGGCATGCTAGCAGAGCATTCACAGTCTGCCGTTGTCTAGCCTGGAAAGCGCTTTGTTCTTCCAATATTTGTCCAATCTTCCATCTTATTTATCTTCTACCTCCTTCCCCACCTCTCTCCCTTTCTATTCCTAGAAATGAGTTTGTTTAGTCAGGCTGCATATCAAGATCACCTCTCTTTTATTCTTTTCAACCAGAATCATTATCATTCATTTTTTAAGTTTGGGACTTGAAGAAATGAGCATAACTTGAACGTAAAGTTATGACCATCATATAAAGATTAGAAAAAGGGGAGGATTACTGCCAAGACACTAAGTTGGGGTTTATAAAAAGGTATGTGAGTCAATTACCAGAAATATACAGAGTACTTCTATGGGACTATGAGTGACTTGATGATAGAGGATTGGTTATTTGTCAAAGGGATTTTTGCAGAAGGCTAGATTGAAAAAGTGACTGTCACCACAGGGGTGGACAGGTCAGCAGGTGGATCAATAATATGCCAGATGGATATAGTGCTAGATTGATAGCTAGACAAGGGGTTAGACAGGTACATTTATGTGTCACTGGAGAGCTCATTATATTGGTATAAAAGTTCTTGTGGCACATGTAAAGTATGACCTGAGGGAGCTGGGGAGGGAGGAGCAGATTAACACTGTCCCTGCTGAGATGAACAGTGTGATATGATATGCTGAAGCTGGAAGGAAGACAAAAGGCTACTCACTTTTTAGGGAGCCTGTCCTCTCTAAGGGCTCCCCCGACATTGCCTTGTAGTCAGTTTCTAGGGCCGTTGTCCTTGTAAATAGCCCCAGCACATTCAGACTCCCAGATTTGTCTTCAGAATGAACTCATCAGAGACCCATATTAAATGAAGTTAGTGAGGTGAGGCTGTTAGAATATAGATATTCCAAGGTGAGTGCTCAGCCACAAACAAGGCATGTATATCACCCCTCTAAGGCTCAGAGAACATTGTAGAAGAGGAGCAGGAAGAATGCAAGAGCCAGAGGATAGGAAGACTGTAATCTCTTAGACACTGTGCAGCCATCTTCATCATGAACTCAATGCAACTGCACTTGCCTACACTGGCCCTGCACAACAGCCAACCACAGAAGGGAAAGGCACTCAAGAGGACCCTCCCAACCTGCAAACCTGTGACCACGGTAGATTCTTGGAACGAGAGAGTCACTGACATCAGTCAAGCAACCAGTAGTGAGCCCTCAAGGGTCTAGAAGAGAATTCCAAAGTCACCGTTAATGCAAATGACCCAAGTTAAACTCACTGGGTCTGAAAATAAAACTCCACTGTACAAATATGGAGGGGATCTTGTAAGATTGATAGAGGCTTGATGGGGTGATAGAGAATGCTGGAAGAGTCTAGAGCAATTAGAATGCATTACATGTGTGTGAGAAAATGTCAAAGCACAAATGTAACAGCAGAAAGAAAGAAAGAAAGAAAGAAAGAAAGAAAGAAAGAAAGAAAGAAAGAAAGAAAGAAAGAAAGAAAGAAAGAAAGAAAGAAAGAAAAGAAGGAAGGAAGGGAGGGAGGGAAAAAAAAAAAAAAAAGACCTAGATCTTCAAAAACCACCAGAGCCACGATGGTGCAGCACCACGGACAGCTCCCAGCCTTTGTCAGGATCGCCTTCTCGTTCATTGGTTGTAAAAACACTGACTCCAGCAGCAAGCAAGCTCAGACACTGGAGCCTGCCCACTGTCAACTGTCCTCATTCAGGTTAACTAAGGAAATCTTTATATAAGTAAGTCTCTCTACTTGGTAAAACCCATTCTTAGTTTATAGTCTTCTGTGAGTTGCTTTCACTGCCACCTCAAGAACCCAAGTTTCTCTGCGTCTTGCTTTCCTGATTCCCCCACCACAGAAATAAAAAGAGACTTCCTTGGCCTCCGACCCATTTCATCCTTGGGATTATCCAAGGACTAGAGGATTCCTGTGGGAGGTTTACTGTGTGGAATGAAAGCAATTAAGGAGCTGAATAAAAGAACTAATTGCATGTGAGAATGCGGATTTGGATGGGAAGATGTTTAAATGGGCTCTGAAAGAAACAGGCTGCCAAGAGCGATTTTCTAATCAAAGGGGAATAAAAAGATTCAATCTCTATTTCACTCTAATCCAGAAAACATGTCTTCATGGTGAAGTGGCTGGAAGATGGACTCACCAGCTGAAGCGGAAAAACTGTTTAACCATTCAGCATGAGACGGGACCATTGGTAAATGATGCAAGATGCCGAGAGTCTCAGAGAATGCTTATAAAGAAAATAAAGGGAGAACTTTGTTTTGTTTTTGCTTTGAATGTCTTTTATTTTAATTCCAGAAGAAATTACCCTGCCTTGTATAGAAATCCTGGGGGATCTGTCATTGAACATGATGAAGTTTCTTGGGAATTGTCCAAGACGCCAATTCACTTATATGAAATGGATATACCTCTGCAAACATTCCCCTTTCTCTTCCATAGATGGGACAGTGCCAACAATGTTGAAGACATATGCAAATGAGGGCCAGCAGGCAGTGCATTTGAACGCACAAGTCTCCCAGAACTCTTATATAAAGTAGTGGACAACCAGATCCAGCAGCTTGAAATAAAGACAGTGAGACTTGGCCTTTTTTCCAAGCTCTGCAGCCACTCTCTAAAGTGTTTAGGAGCTTCATTTGATACCATTCACTGGGAATTCTTTGGGTCAAATTCCCTACCCAGGGAATAAAACAAAAAGAGATATACTCATCTTGAGCCTACCAGGAGCATTTTGAATTCTGATCACAGAGTGTCCAGCCCTTAGTAGGAAGAAAAACTAGAAATACCCAGTCCCTGTTCCCGAGGGCTACTTGCTTTGCACCCACTTATCCCTGAGCTATAAAGTCCTGGGAGATGGAAAAGGTACTAAGGGTAGTCTGATTTTTCTTTTGTTGCAGAGGTGACAGACAGGAAGCTGACTGTGGAGGAAGAAGAGGCCAAGAGAATAGCAGAGATGGGAAAACCAGTATTGGGTGAACACCCCAAACTAGAGGTCATCATTGAAGAGTCCTATGAGTTCAAGGTCAGACATCACTGAGGTCTAATGAAATAATAGCTAACTAAGGTGGGAAACAGAAGATATGAGGCTTTTTCTAACTTCACCACTGAGAATGTGAGCCAGAAGCTGAACAAATTACTTATTCACCTCAGGCCTGGGTTTCCCATTTATAAAATGTAGCAAGAAGTGCTAGTTATTTGTATGTTATGAATACTACAGGAAAACATGATATAAAACTTGTTAGTAAGCAGGGAAGAGAGCCCTTGGGTGTGTCACCACAATTGCATGTTTTAAAATACTAAAACTCACTACCGACAGGCAGGGTCTATTGACATCTTATCCTATAGTTACATTTCAAGTCTGGTGTGGTGGGCCAAGCCTTTAGGCCAAGGCACTTGTGAGGCTGAAGCAGGCACATCTCTGTGAGTTCAAGGCCAACCTGGTCTATATAGAGAATTCCACGACAACTAGGGGGACATAATAGAGAGACCCTGTCTCCAATGACCACACATGAAAAACCCTCTATAGTTACATTCCTCTAAACATCCAGTGCCAGAATTCACAACCAAAGAAAAGGGAACTAGGGGGATTGTCCAAAAAGATAACATCGAAGGACATCTCGTGAAAAAATTTGAGAACCCCTGCAATTCAGGGTCTCTTTCATTGCTTTATAACACGAGAGGCCGCAGTGGTTTTGAGAACTCTAACCTCATGATTCCAAGTTTTCCTCTCCATGACAGAGTACCGTGGACAAGCTGATCAAGAAGACAAACCTGGCGTTGGTTGTGGGGACCCATTCCTGGAGGGACCAGTTCATGGAAGCCATAACTGTTAGTGCAGGTAAGAGGGCCCTCCAGATAGCCTTGCTAGGAGGGCAGACAACTCCCAAGAAAGAAGATCCTGGCCCCCTTAGTGGCTGGTCATTTTCAAGGAGCCCTCATCAGTGGGGTCTTCTGAGCTCCAGCTCAGTTTATCTATTTCAATGGGTCCCGAAAAGGGAATAGCGACATCTGGCTTCAAATCCTGATTCTGCTGTGTGAACTGGTGCAGTATCCTCTCTGCCTCCAATGCTTTTGGCCCTGAAAAGAACTACTGTTGCCTTTCTTAGAAGTGCAAGTACAAAACACGCTCACAGAGAATTCCAGTTTCCATCATTCCTTATCATCTCACTAGTTTGCTTTTCTCTTTCTGTAAAAAGGAAAACAATTCTGGTTTAGAGACTGGATGTTGAGCGTTAGCAAAATGCATTGACACTCTGACGAATCTCCACCCTGGATGATGTCTTTGCCATTTACAGGATGACCCCACCCTATTGTCCTAGCCTAGGCAGAAGTCCCAGATACTGGCAGATACTAGAATGAGGATGGACAGGGTCTCCCAACTGCCCCTGTCTTGTCTCTCAGCAACACTATAGTTCTCTTGAACTGACAAGCACTACTGGCCTTGTCTTTTTCCATGAAGTTTTGTTGTCATAGCAACCCACAGGGTCACATCCCTAAGGTCCCAGAGCCAGAGCAAAAGCACAGCCAGGAAGAGAGGTTTGCTACTGCTGCCTCCCTGCTTCCACATCCATTCTGCTGTATCCCTTCTGATGGCCTGACTGTGCCCCTCAGGAGACCACAAAAGGAATGCAGGTCGCATAGTCTACCTCCCTTCACAAAGCAGGGAACTGGAGTTCAAACTATGGGTAAAGCACCCCAGGCTAAGATTTCTTTCATTTAAAATCAGAATTAGAGCCCAGATTCCTGACTTCTGTTCTTTCCAAACCCAAAGCACCTAAAGTTACCCTTGAAGGGGCACAGGTACCTTGGCACACTCTCTCGGGGGCCACTGGAGGGGCACATGTACGCATAGTTCCTAGCAAAAACAGCCAGAGACTATTCCTGCTCTGTTTCATGGGCTCTCTGAGGAACAGTGCTGCCTCATGATCTGGAATGACAGCCATCCATCTGGGGCTGGATAATGGCAGGGTTAGGGTTGTCATTGCTGTAGCCAGGTTAGAAAACTTGAGAGGAACCCATTAGCACTCAGGGAAGAGTGATCAAGCACACAGCCAACTCTGTTTTCTTTGCCCAGAAAATCAAATAGAGCCTGTCCCTGCCTCCTTCCCCCCCCCCCGCCCCCTTATGCCCTCCTGGTCTCCACCCTGTCTCTTACTCTCATCCTCTCTTGTTTTTCTCTAGTTCACAGCTTGCTCACTTTCTCCCATGTTTGCTTAGCACCCTGTATTGATACTGGCCAGTGACCATGTGGTCAGTGTGATTCCCATTTCCCCACTTGAACTAGTGCCCACACGCTGTACCTCACCTGCTGTCCAGAGATAACTGAATTCCCATGCTGGCCCACGGTGCCTGTAATGTGGGCTGGACTTGACTTTTTCGTGAATGATGTTCTGATCTCACTTCCTTATTTCAAGCCTGTTTATCTTACCTCCAGCAGGGGATGAGGATGAGGACGAATCGGGCGAGGAGAGGCTGCCTTCCTGCTTTGACTATGTTATGCACTTCCTGACAGTCTTCTGGAAGGTGCTTTTTGCCTGTGTGCCCCCCACGGAGTACTGCCATGGCTGGGCCTGCTTTGTGGTCTCTATCCTCATTATTGGCATGCTCACTGCCATCATCGGGGACCTAGCCTCTCACTTTGGCTGCACAATTGGGCTCAAGGATTCAGTCACCGCCGTCGTTTTTGTAGCGTTCGGCACCTCTGTGCCAGGTGAGAGTGAGAGGTACTTAAGTTTGCAAAATGGATATCCCCTGGTTCAAATGACCCCTACATTCTGCCTCATCTCAGATCTGAAGCAACGGGCACTGTGGGTGATAACCAGCTCACACATTCAATCCCTGCGCTTACTAGACAGGAAAACTGAGGTCTACCATGGATATGGTACCTGACCAAGAAAGTGGTCCAGTTTCTTAGCCTTTTTACTGTATTAATAGAACATGAGTAATGCAATTAAATGCACATAATAATGTTCTTCTATTTGCCTCTGGTAGCCTCTGAGAGATTAAATATTAGCCTGCTTATAAATGTCCCTATAAGAATGCCCACAATCCTTCTTGGCCTCCCTTAGCTCCTGTGGTCCTCTATGAGGGCAAAGTGTCTCCCGTCAGCAGTCATAAGAGCATTAGCTGAAATTTGTCCTTTCATGTGAGGAATTACATGCTCTTTATTTCCTTCTAAATACCCAAAGGCAAACATCAGTAAGCATCCATTAATTCATTTAGTAGGCTAATATTTCCTGATCTCCTGGGATGCCTGATACAGTCCTGAGCTAGTTGCACATCTATTATGTGAGTGGAGGCAAACGTTTCCTTCTCAGCCCTCAGCTAAAAATCTAGCAAAGGAGATTAGACCCAAATAACTTTTTTAATATTAATGATATCTAGGAAGTAAAGGTGTCAAACAGGGAGCCGAAGGTTAAGCTGAGTCAGAGCAGGTCCTATGGAAACGAGACCTGGATGACAAACAGTAGGTAGGCAGTACAGTATGACTGGATTAAGCTAGGCTCCCTACTCAATTAAATGTGGTTCTCTATGGCATCTGAACTCTGACCTTTTGCTAGCTTCAAATGCTCGGGCTGAACCTCACCAGGCAAGAGCCTGCAGGATGATCCAAGGGCAACGCTCATTGTAGCAAAGAAATATCCTTTTGGAGATCCATTACACCTAATAATTTCTTCAGCGTGGCTGTGATATGTGACAAAAGTCCCAAAAGAAAAACTTAAAGAAGGAAGGATTCATTTCACTCACAGTTTCAGGGGTGTTAACACAGCATGGCAGGGAAGGCAGCATGATGGAGAAAAACAGTTCACATCATGGTTGACAAGAACCAAAGAAGGAGAACGTAGGGAAAGGCCCAAGAAATGTATGCCGGTGAAATACGTCCCCCAATTAGGTCCCTCCTACCTTTCACTACCTCCTATCAGTGGATTTGTCCATTCCTTGATTCACTGCCCTTGGGATCTAATGGTATCCGGAAACTTCATCACAGACACACCCAAAGATGCGCCCCTGGGTGACTCTCCATCTAACCAAATTGGTACTCAAAATGAATCTCGTCACACTGTATCTACACCACACCCCAAGAACTCCTCCTTCTAAAAGCCCAGGGCAGGGGGAGGGGTGTACTAGTGATACCAGAAGCCTGGCTATTGTGGAAATGAATCTGTTGATAAGAAATCCGATGATGCCCTGTGCTCACTGTTCTCCAGGCCTTGATGTGCCCTAGCTGACAGAGGGAAAGGAACAGATGTGAGGGCAAAGATGTGGGAAAAAAACAAGGGAGGGTAAGAGCCAAACTGCAAGGTCATAGTCAAGTTGGGACAAGCTTTCTCTGGGAAAGCTAAAATTAATGGGCTACAGTGAGACATCCGGATATACTGGGTGCGGAGATGGTTTGGGGCATTTCCAAGGCTCTGGAATTTATCCAGAAAGTCCCTGACAATACTGAAACTTTCAGAAGAATATGCTATGGTTCATGCCTCTGGGATGGTGGCTTTTGTTAGAGCTCTTTGGAAATGAGAGGATGTTATGGGCACGGCCCTTCCATGGGGATTCTAGAGTCAAGTCTCTAGCTGATTTAAGTGACCTTGTGTAGATGCCTTGATCACTTTCAGGGTTAAGTGGGTGCATGCCCCATATGACAGTTACAGCCAATCGTCTATTCCAGCTGCTTCCCAGGATGTGAAATTCCCTGGGCAGATGTTATAAAATGACTGAGTCTTATTTGCTAAAACCATAGTCAACAGGGAATGATATGCACACTTGGTAAATATTGGAACAAGAATAGCTCTCAGGATGCTTCAGGATCCTATAGATTTGAAACAGGAAACCCAGATCCATCATTGGACATGTTCAAGGCTATATTAACTCATAAGTGACAGGGCTTGGAAGTGGTCCCTTTGCACATGCTGCCAAGCTGCCTTTGAGGGATACTCAAAGACAAGTCCTGCGGATCCCAGCCTCCCACAGCTCCCATTTGTCTCTGTCCTTTTCCAGATACATTTGCCAGCAAAGCTGCTGCCCTGCAGGATGTGTATGCAGATGCCTCCATTGGCAACGTCACTGGCAGTAATGCTGTCAACGTCTTCCTGGGTATTGGCTTGGCCTGGTCCGTGGCCGCCATCTACTGGGCCATGCAGGGACAGGAGTTCCATGTGTCTGCTGGCACTCTAGCCTTCTCTGTCACTCTTTTCACCATCTTTGCATTTGTCTGCCTCAGTGTGCTCTTGTACCGTCGGCGGCCCCACCTTGGCGGGGAGCTGGGAGGTCCGCGTGGCTGCAAGCTTGCCACAACGTGGCTTTTTGTGAGCCTGTGGCTCCTCTATGTACTTTTTGCCACACTGGAGGCCTACTGCTACATCAAGGGGTTCTGAGTCACTAGAGCAAGACCTCCACGGGGCAGGCCTAGGACTTCTCCCAAGAGAAGGGCACTTCCTCACCAACCTTCCCAGGTTGAGCAGCCCTGGAGAAGCAGCATCAGGACCAGAGCCCCAGGAACATCACATGACCTGGGCCCTGGCAGTGCACAGAAAGACCAAAATCTAAACAATTCAATGGAACGGAAGCGACACCCACTGTCCAAAGTACTTAATTAAAAACAAACCAACAGCAACAAATCCACCTCTACCCCATCCTCCACTCGTGTCCCTGAGCTTTCTCTTGTGTACTCCACCATCCAACGATTCCTTTGACTCTAACTCCCTGGAGCAGGATTTCCCCTGTCTCCAGCAACCTGCATCAAGACTCCCTCATTCAGCTGTCTGGGTGTAAGAATGAGCCATCTCTGTGTGGCTGATTTGGGGTGCTCTTTTTCGTCGAATCGTTATTGTAATTGTTTTCATCTTCCTACCAGGGTCCACTTATTGTCTTGTCTTTTCTTTCTGAAGTTAGTGACAAAGGGCCCTGAAGGAACTCCAAGTCTGAGTGACAGACAGAGGCATGGACTTGCTAACACACACTCTCCTGCTCTCACAAGGCCACAGCTGTCCCTTGGCTCCAACTCAGGGTGCAGGAGGAGTTTCATCTGTTCGCATTGACATCACACCCAAACCACAGAGCAGTCATGCTTCTCTGTAGAGATCACTGTAATTCTCTGCGTTGTGCTTCAGCACCCGAGTGTACACCCTCCCACAAGAGACTTGCCAAGTTGAGGCTCGGGAACAGAAATAAGAGTGCTCCATGATGACCAAAGGCAGCCAGAGACACAAAGGGGAAACACCTCTCCAGTGTTTTTGGATTTGTGTCTGTGGTGGGAGAGAAAAGGGTATCTGATTGGGGAGGTCTCTAAGGGAGTGGATCATATGTAGAGTGTCTTGTTTCTGGGGCGTGCCAGCATTACCAGCCCTCTCTTGCTAATGCACCATACCCAGAAGGCTAAGGAGATTGAAGTGATGTGAGAATGTAGAGGCTTGTAAGAGAACAGGGGCCTCCTTCCTTCTCCCCTGGCCTTCGGGCCACTTTTGAAAGCATGTTCACAAGATAGGAACTGGAATCTCTCATTTCCCCATGTTTCTGCTTCTTTTTAAACCTCAGAAAGTTTTCTTCCCAGCCTGTGGGGGTGTGTCTTATACCTCTCCCTTCCCAAGAATCTGAGTCATCACATTCCCAAGGAACCCAGGCTCACAGAAAATGAAGACTGACACACTGATACCCTTGCCTCCTGGACCTTTTCCTGATGTATTTGAAAAATCCTGGCTTTAACACACACACACACACACACACACACACACACACACACACACACACCAAAACTGCCCGCAGGTCTTGAGGCTTTCTGCATTGACATAAATACATTTTCTAAGAGAGAAATAATGAAATTAAAACAACACCTGTTTAATTTTAAACACATTTTTTAAGAAAAATAAAAAAGAGAACAATGTTTGTGTCCTAAACTATGTTGACAGTTGCTGGTGGAAATGTTGGGTTGGTTCAAAAAAAATAAATAAATAAAAGTAAAAGGTCTACTTATATGTCTCTACACACAGCCCATTTCTCATGTTTCTTCAATGAATGGTCCAGGGCCTGCCATCTTGGGAATCTGCTGAAGCAGATGCGACTGAATCAAAAGTGTCACCTCCCATCATACTCGAGTGTCAATGCACTAGACATAGTATTTTTTTAAGCAAAAAATGTCTAGGGAAATGCTACCTGTCACAGCCCAGACTTAAAGAAGCTGGAAAACACAGGTAATAAGAATTGTGTTGATGAAGGCAAAGGGGCATTTTGTATCAGAAGAGCACAGCGGGGCAAGACTTTGGCTAGGAAGCCATATTTAGCCAGTGCTCCCCACATAGGCTCAGCATCAGCATCCATTTGCTCATCACTCATTCAAAGACCAACCCTGCAGTGAACACCTTCCACATACTCAGTTACACTCTGGTGATACAATGAAGGTTTGGTTCTTGACCACAAGAAAGTCACGATCCAGGAGGTGAAATAAAATTTATTTTAATACGGTGTTTTGGAGTTCTAAGAGACAGAAACAAATTAAACGGTTCTAGAAACAGAGGAGGCAGCACTGGGATGCCTAGTGGTGGAGGGTTTCTGTGAAACTCAGAGCAGGAAGCCCTGAAAACCCAAGCTTGCTTTCTGTTCCTCCCATCCATGTGCTCCCTCCAGCCCCTGCTTCTCTCCCCCCACCCCATCTCCCTGGGGTCCCCTTTGTTTGGCTTGCCCTACAGTCCAGCTCAGTTGACATCCCTGATGTGATTTCATGGCCTCACAATTCCACTCCACAGGACTAACAGAATCTCTCTTTAGGGATCTGAGAGCAAATTCTCAATTAAGAGAATATAATTAATTTCCCGTACCCCGAAGGGCATTTCCAGAGGACAGAAACCTTTGTAGAAGCTATCTTGATGTGTGTGTGTGTGTGTGAGAGAGAGAGAGAGACAGAGACAGAGACAGAGAGACAGAGACAGGGATAGACACAGAGACACTGAGCATGTGAAGAGTGTATAGATGGGCAATTATGCATTAAGCCTGTTCCAGGCCCAAATAAGTCAGAGCAAGTAAGGAGGTAGGAATTGCATGTGTGTGTTAGTGCCCCTTCTGAAAGCTAAGTAGTGGAAGGAGCCTATGGTTTGTGAACAATTGAGTGTAAACAAACAAACAACAAAAGGCTCTGTAACACACACAGGTGCTCTAAGTGTAACATGAACAGAGGGCATGGAACACACGAACTTAGTCTTGAGAAATCAAGAAGGACCTCACTGAGAATGGGACCTTAAAGCAAAATATATAGTCATTTACTCTGGTAAAAGGACTCAGCATTGGAAGACAGGCAAAAAGGAACTAGATGGGACCATGCCATGGAGCCAAGAAGCAAAAATGCAGATAAATGCTAGCTGTGACTGCTTGTGTATCTGAGAACGGAATGCTCTTATGTTAAAGGCAAAAGGAAAGAAAAGGAATGGAAAGAAAATTCTACTACCACCAAATGAATAAACAAATACCACTTACCTTTTTGCATTATGGAGTTTAGTCCTTGCCTGGGCTTAAATTTCTGGCCAAAATGGAGCTAAGAAAGCACATTTGAGAACATAAGTCTTCAAGGAAGTGATAACTAGAAAATGATAGGTAGGTAGGTGATAGATAGGTAGATAGATAGATAAATAGGTAGATAGATAGATAGATAGATAGATAGATAGATGAGAAAGATCTTGGCTAAATACTATTCTATTTTATTGCTAGTTGAGAATAAAACATAAGTGTCTTCTAGCTGATTCCATGGGAGAGACAGGGCATGACCTCTATTTGTGCTCACTTGTAGATCACCCAGACATTGGATTTTGTAGAGAGAGGTTGAGGTTCATCTATTAATGAACCCTAGTGAATGTGGATGAGGGTTGAGGCTGGTGTCCATGGAGAGGAAGGACCTTAATGTGAGTCTAGACACAACAACTAGTTCTCTGCATTGAATGAATGCCTCTCTTGGCTCACATCAGCCGAAGGTTTCTGAAGCCTATCACTTTCAGCACTAATGCTGAAATTCCAGAACATATGCATGGAGGACAGGGATGCACAAGGTGATATACAAAATTGCCTGACAGCCATAACCAGCAACACTACCAGCATCCCTTCAGGGTGCCCTGGTCCCATAGGCTGTACATCAGTCAATATAAAGATGACAGTGCCATCCAGGGTGCACAAGTGGAGTCGTGACATCCTCATCCCTTTATCTCACTTATTTTCAGGGAAAAATAGCTATCATAATAAACCAACCCCAGCATTTCAGTGGCTTAAGAGAAAATGAAGTTTCTTCCCAATGCATGCAATGATCTAAGAAAAATGTTCTTAGTCGGCAGGTAACTTTCTTTTCCATATGGTGATTCGGGGACTTGGTTTCTTTTATTTTATAAGTGCCAGTCTCTGCATGCCCTCTCCATTCATCTCAAATGGGAAGTAAATCTAACTGCCTTGGCTCCCAAGTAATGCCACATTTGCTGACATCCAATTAGTGAAAGCTAGTCACTTTTACTTATTCAAATGCAAAGGAGACTGTGAAATGTAGTCTTAGCTGGGCAGTCACTCTCCTGTCACCTCTCTAAACTGCAAAAGGATCTTTTGTAATAAATGATTGTCCTGCCACAATGCCTTTGCGATTAAGGACAGATGTTTTAATATTAATGGCCCAGAGCAATATGACCTATGTCTATGCCGTTTTCAAAGCCTTTAATATACATCATCTTTATCTGCTAAGAGCCATCATAAGAGGTGGATATTATTCTTTTCTGTCAAGCAGGTTATGAGTGGTTATATGATTAGCCTGGAGAACACAGAGAGTAAGGATCAGGTAGAAACATGGGTCTGACTCCAAATTTTCTCAAATTGCTTGTTCCAGAATATCATGACCTCTTGTTACAAACACCTGAACAAAGGATGGGAAAAGGCGAGAATTACAGGAGGCTGAAAGTTGCCAGTGAAAGAAACCCACAGAAAGGCAGCCAGTTGTCAATTGAGAGAACAAGAGAAACCAGCCAGCAGTTAGTTCTCTGGTCCTTCCACAATGTCTTCTCACCCACCTCATCCTCATCCTTACTGAATGAGATTAGGCTAATGTACCTGCAAAGCAGACAAGGGAAATTTCGCTTTGGTAAAATCATTTATGTTGATCATCAAAGATGGAGACTCTTCTGGCCCCAAGCAGAGGGCCAATGGTATTCAAAAGGATTCCCAGAAAATTGACTTGGCAAGTATGTCACATGATGCTCAGAGGGGTGTGTCCTAGCCCATTTTGTGTTGCTATAACACAATTCCTGGGTCCTGAATAGAAGTATTCAACTCACGTTTCTATTGTTTCAAGACCATGATGCTGACACTTGCTTAGCTTCTACTGAGGGAGTTATCATGTGTCACAACATGGCTGAGAAACAAATGGGCAGGTGAGCCTGTGCAAGAAAGAAGCATGGGGTGGGAAGACATGGGACACAGGGGACCAAAGAAATGACTCACATTATAACAACCCATTTTCCCAAAAACTACCACAAGAACCACACTAATGCTGGGTGTTGGTGGCACACACCTTTAATCCCACACTCGAGAGGCAGAGGCAGTGGAATCTTTGCAAGTTTGAGGCCAGCCTAGTCTACAGAGCGAGATCCAGGACAGGTTCCAAAACTACAGAGAAACCCTGTCTCAAAAAACAAAAAACAAAACAACAAAAAAAGTAACCACAGTGATGCCTTCATGATACCACC